TAGTGTTCGAAAACACCACTATATTGTCTAGATACATGCGAACGAACTCGTCCAGGTACCCCCTCAAGACTTCGTCCATTAGTCGCACAAAGGTCATGGGGCTGTTTTTGAGGCCGAAGGGGAGGACTCGGAATTGGTATAGGCCCCGACGCGTCCGGAATGCCGTGTATTTTCGCGCGTCCTGCTTAAGTGGTACTTGCCAGTACCCCGACTTAAGGTCAAGAACGCTGAACACTTTTGCCCCTCTCATCTGACGTATCAGCGTGTTGAGGTCGGGCATTGGGTAAGCGTCGGACTCAGTGATATCATTGAGCCGCCTATAATCAATGCACAGTCGGGGTGAGCCGTCTTTCTTTTTTGCTAAGACGATGGGTGCGGCCCACGGGGATGTGCTTTGTTCTACCAGTCCCTGCTCCTCCATGTCCCGTATCATGGTATCGATTATGGCCTGTTTTACCGGTGGATAGGGATATGGTTTGAGGGCTATGGGTGTGTGATTTTTGAGGAGGATGTCGTGTTCTATTAACCTGGTGCGGCCTACCCTACCGTTGAATACGTCCGGATAGTTACGTACTACTTCGGCGAGTTTCGCGCGTGTGTGGTGGTCACCGTTTATTGTTAATTTGTCGACATCTAGTGCTGGGCTGGGGGTGGGTATCCGACCTTTCCAGCACGCTGTTGTTCTCCTATTCGAACCTAAATGAATAGTGCTCGTTGTGTAGTCCCAGGTGACTTCGTTTTGTACGAGAAAGTCGTGACCTAGGAACATGTCGCAGTATAAATTGTCCAGAATGGCTGCGTTGAAAGTGACCGTGAGGTCTCCAATTCTGAATGTGGAGGTACCACTTGTCAATGTGGTGTGACCATCCGCCATTCGTACCTGAGTTTGTTGTCCGTGGTGGGGGGTGCCAAATTGTTGTGCAGTGTTCGGGCTTACATACGATTTTTGTGCTTGGGAGTCGAGTAGAGCTGTTACGGGGCCTGACCTAAATTCGAGTTCGACCGCGGGGGTCGGAATTTTGTCGGGGCATACTCGTTTAGCGTTATTCGACGTTGGTGGTGATGTATAGCTGGATAACTGGTTCTTAACCGCGATACCGGTGTTCTGGGGAGCGGTTTGCACCGCCATTACCAGAGCATCCGTTTCGGTTACCTCTGTGCTATGTGTATGTACTGTATGTGTACCTGTTAATTTCGTAGTAGGGGTCGTTGATGCGGACCTTTGGGGTGCCGCGTGGTGTGGTGATGGTGACCTGCTACTTAACGAAATTGTTGATGTTTGGACGGGTGATATATGTGAGGACGCCGAGTTTATCGATGCGCGTTTGATGGTTATATCCCCGTCTGTAATGCCGAATGTTGTGTGTGGTGGCGTGGTGGTGTGTGTGTGTGTGTGTGTGTGGTGGAGGCGGCGGCGTGGACAGGTGTCCGCCGACTCATTTCCCGTTTCCCGAACGCGGTGTGTTCCCGGGGCAGTCACTGTTCCAGTGAGGACCTATACAGTATCTGCACGGGTTGGGCGGTTGCGGTTTGCCTGCCGTACCGTCCCGTGTTCGCGGTTGGTGCGTTGGTTGAGGTGGGCGGGTTTGGGAAAATTTTTTTTGCGCCGGTTTCGGCTGTGGTTGTGTCGCTGGGTCGTCAGGTGTGTACTCCAGGACTCCAGCGATCCGGCGGAGGTCTCCGAAAGTCGCTGGTCTTTGCAATCTTATGTCCGTGCGGTATTCGTTGCGCGTTAGTCCGGCTATAGTACCTACTAGCTGTGTTTCAGATAGTCCGGTATTGACCGGTATTGACGTATTGAAGTTGGTTTTTTTGTGTCACGAACTCCGTTAGCGATTGCGTTGGTGTTTGTCGGACGGATACTATCTCTGCCCGCAGCCGTGACCGTATTTCCACGTTGTCGAATTTTTCTAAAAATTCGGCGCGGAACTCGTCCCAGGTGACGTCCAGTAGTCTGATGGTGTTCCACCAGGTACTGGCTGCACCCTTTAGCTGCTGTGCGATAATATTTGTCCAGGCCGACCTATCTATACGCGATTGGTACATTATCGACTCCGCTTTATGAATAAATCTTGCCGGGTCCTCCTCAGGTGTTGTCCCGTGGTACTCCGGCAGCGAATGTCTCGCTGCACATACGTCGTCGTATGGTATCAGCGTCGATTGTTGTGCCGCGTAGGTGTGTGTGGAGGAGGGGGCATGGTGTAAATTTGTTGTGTCGTCGAATCGTACTGAATGGTCGGCGTGTTGGTTACCCGCGGACGGCGGTTCGCGTGCCGCGGAGTACCTCGCTCCGTATTCCGTGTTGTTCGATAACACTGTGTGGCGTGGGCGGGTCGGTGGGGTTGCCTCCGGTTGTTGTTCCGGTGCTTGGCGTGCCATACCCATCTCTAGGCGTCGCATTGTCTCTGCAATGCGACGTTGGTCTTCGCCAAAGCGGGCCATACAGTTCTCGAGCATGGTCAGTCGCGATTCCAGACCGCAGCCATGCGCCGAGTTCTCCACCGCTTGCCGTACCTCCTTAATTATGGTACGACCCGTTTGGATCATATCCATAGCTTGTTGGTGTGTGGGTGTGGTTGATGGTTGGGGTGTTGTATTGTTGGTGGTGATCTGGGGTGGGGCGTGTGATGTCTCGATCTGTATTTGCGCGGTTTGACTGGCGTCGGGTACCAGACCTGTGGCCGAGCTATGTCCGGTCTGCCCAGTGGGTTCCATAGGCGGGAACCGGATTTCGTTGGCCTGCAGGTTCATGTCCGCGAAATGTTGTGTTAATCGAATTTCGAGATCACCCTTCGCGCCCGTATCCGATAAACCGCTCTGTCCACATTCGTAGCGCAATTCCGCGGCGGTCAATTCATTAATATATTTTCCCGGCATGACTTCCGGTTGGTTTTCCGGTGTTGTTGACGAGAAATTATAAAATGTGGCTGTTGTCTTTGGAACGGTTATCGCGTTCCTTCGATCAGCTGTGTTGTCCGCTTATCGGTGTTTATTTGCGTACGGAATGTAGGTCAGTGGGTTGTTATTGTTATTGTTGCGCTTGCCGGGCGATCACAGTAACCGGTCTTCGCAGTGTTTTCGCGGATGCGCGTGTGTGCGTTATCCGGTGCACTACTGCGATTAGGGAAGGCGGCGGCTGTCGCTTTAAGCGGCGGCAGTCCGATTACGTGGTATTTTTGTCCCGGGTAATCGCGTGTTTACGTTGGCGGGTGGTGGAGCTACGCGGTGGTGGTGTGACCCTCTCGCGCTCTTGCGTTCCTACCTAATGCCTACCTGCGTCGTGTGTGTTTGGTGCGTCGCGCGCGGTGTGGTCGGTGCGTCCGTGAGTCGGGCGGCGCGGCCGGTCGTTACGTCCTTTATGGTTATGTAATATATTACGTAACGCCGGTTTTTCCGTTACCGCCTGCAAACCACGTTTTTGCCGGATCGCGTTGGTGACTTTTTTCCAAAACGCGCAACGGGGGTTTATTTGGGGGTGGTAGTATGTGGTAAGAAAGTTTTCACTTACCGGTGATTCCTGTTCGGGGAGCCAGTTGACGCGGACTTGTTCTGTGCCGCGTGGACGTTGATGTGGTGATGGTGACCGATGGATACCGTCGGGTCGAAAACAAATAAAACGGAATAATAACAATATTATAAAAAAAAAAAAAGAACCAACGAACGTCGCACTCAGGTGTAATTTTCCTTTATTGTAAAGAAACAAAATTATTCAATATACATATATCGGTGGTGAAATACACAAATGGTGTCGTGGTTTAGATGCGTACCGGACGGTGTCGGAAAGACGAGAGAGCGCGCCTTGACAATCCGGTTCGCTGGACGGCCGGCCGACGGTTCCAGGCGCACGTGTCGTGCGCCGGCGTCGTCCGTCGTCGATTGGCGGTTTGATTGAGAAGCCGCGGCGCGGCTTCCGCGCAAAGGCTGTTTGAATTCAACAGATTTTGCGCGGGACCGCGTCAATCTATGAGACAAATTTACAAATTACAAAAAAATTATCTAAGAAACTTAATTTCTCAAGATACCTTATTTGAAATAGCAAACACAGCAACTTCTAGTTTTCACTATAACGTCGGTTTTTGGGGTTTTTTACTTTGGCAGCAGCAATTATTTCTTTAATTAATTCACATTGTTCATTTGATATATTTAAACTCTCAAAAATATTTTTCAACTTTGTGTCACCAATTGTGCTCATTTCATGTTTTACTTTATTTAACTTATCTTCTAGTTGAGTGATTTTTCTACTAGCCCGAAAATGTCTTTTTTAACAATTGCTTTAGCCTTTTGAATTGTTTGTACAATTTTTTTTTTATTCGGTGAAAAATAAACTCTGGTGTTTTCTTCTTTTTTAAGTTTTGTACACTTTCTCTGAATAGAAAAGGTCAAACGCTTACACCATGAACATACATTACTGAAATAAAACAAATTGTAAATATATTTAGCTGTAAAAGCTGAACTACTTTTGTATTAATTTATTTTAAAAGTAATTTGATAATACTTGTCAGCTTTTTTGACGATTGTTAAGCAATTACTATGTCGCCATTGGCCACTGGACTTCACATACTGAGCACCAAATGATGCTTTAATGTTAGCATTTTGGTTTGAAATGATAGCTCCTTGGCAACATTTTACTATACTAACTTTATCTAAAAGTATTTGAAATTTATTTAAAGTATTATTTTCTTCAAATGTATCACCTATTTCTAATGGTGATATTTGTTTTCCATTTAAGAGCAACAATATTTTAGAGTCTAGAAATATAAAACAAAATACTTTAAAAATTTACCAATGTCCACAGTTCCACTTCTGTTACACAAAAAAAGACGGTCTCCTAAGAAAAGAGATTTACCCAAAAAGTCTTCAAATGAAAACAACTCTTGTGAGGTTTCTACTTCTGTTGAAATACCAGAAAAGGTAAAAAATTATATTGATTAAAAAATATTCAACAAGTAATTATATTTTAATTTTAATTATAGCATTTTGAATCAACATGTTCGCAAGACATGTCTGATATTGATGACGATGATTCTGATGAAACAATAAGAGAACTGTATGAAAAATTTAATGTTTCAACTCAAGTAACAAGTGGTGATTTAATGGTTCCATTTATTTCTTTAATTAACTCACCTAAACATTTAAATACTATGACTGGAATACCTTCATTCAATTTATTGAATAAAATTGAGGAATTGTATCGTTTAGAGTTTCCGGATAAGCGTTTTCATAATATAAGTTACAAAGAAAGAATTGTCATGGTATTTATGAAATTGAAACAAGATTTATCTTTCATAGTGTTATCAATATTATTCAAAAATGTTTCACCTGAGTCTTGCAGAACAATTTATGCATCAATTATACCTTCACTAGCTATGCTTTTAAACAGTGTGATATATTGGCCATCAAAACAAGAAATTTCCTCTGACATTCCATATTGCTTTGAAAATTTCAACAAAACTAGAGTAGTTATAGACTGCACAGAGATTTCATTGCAAAAAAACCCAAATGCTTGACATGCCGAATTAGAACATATAGCAACTATAAATCTACATTCACTTTAAAATTCTTAATTGGTATATCACCCGGTGGTTTAATAACATATATTAGCAAACCATATGGGGGAAGGGCATCTGATAAAACAATATTCAAGCAAAGTGGATTGATAGGAATGATGGAAAGATTTGATGGGATAATGGTTGATAAGGGATTTTTAATTGATGATTTGTGTTTAGAAAAACAAATTGATTTAATTCGACCTCCTTTCCTAAAAAATAAAATACAGTTTTCTAAAGCTGAGGCACTTTTAAATAAAGATATAGCTAGTGCTCGTGTACACATTGAGAGAATTAACCAGCGCATAAAATCATTTAAAATTTTTCAATCTAAATTTTCATGGTCTCGTAATTATTTAGCAAATGATATTATGATTATTATTTGTGGAATGTGCAACTTAAGCTCCTCAATTTTTGAAAGTGATAAATTTAATGTACCTATATGATTTTAGAAGTAAAATAATATTATGATATAAAGTATCATAAATAATCAGTTGTTTAATATATTAGTATATTTACATTTTTAATTCACAAATTGTATGTAATAATTTTTCAAAATATACAATTTTTAACACTTGTAGTAATGTTTTACAATATTGATCATCAAATTTAACATTTATAACTACATAATTATGTTCTATACTGTTATAAATTATGAAGTCACAACTATTTAAATTTAATAGAACTAAACCTAGTTGGACTTGTGCATAATATGCATGTTTTTTAAGTAATGTAAATGACTCATCAGCATTTTTAGAAATATAGATGATTTTCTCAAAAATATTTTGGGAGTCATCTGTACAACTAGGATATGGACATTTTACTTCAACTAATTTAATTGGTTCATTTACCTTGTTCACAATTATACCATCAGGTGAATAACCTAACCATGGATAGTTGTAAGAAGTGACAAAACCACTTAAAGAATAACACCGACTACCGGTGATTCTATATTGTCGTATTTTGTGCCAATAAGATTTGTCAACTAAAGATTTTGTTCTAATATTAATAGGGCTATCATTTAGTTTAATATCACTTTCGTAAACTGTTTGACAACAGTCACCTAGATTTAAAACACTGTACAGATCAAGTGATAATAAATGTGGATGAGTAGTGAAAATAAATGGTTCTTCTAAAACCACATCATTTTTATTTAAAGATATTTCTCTAGGATTTCGTCCAACACAGTGTAGAGCAATTGCAGAATTTGGTGCTGCAGATATAAGAGCTGATCTGAAATTACACAAACAAATATGCATTAGATAATGTTCATACAATCCTAATAAGAATAGTTACCTTAATTCGGACGGAGATGTAGTTAATGGAACTTTTTCAGTAGACCTCACACAGCAAAAATGTTCAATAGAGACCGGTTTAAACTGCTCTAGAGATGGCTCTTTTAATTTTGACCACTGGCATTGCACATCAGTAGATGACAGAGTATCAATCTCATTTAAATTGTTTCTATAAGTTAAATAATTCTAATTTTATAATTGAAATGGTATTAATGTTTATAATTATTAATACAATACATATTATAGTACAATCAAAATGAAAAACTAAGTAGTATAGCAAGTTAATTCTAGACATAGGTAATACAGTCATGTTACACTCTAGAGTACATATTATGATACTTATTTAAGAATAGCAGCACAGCAACAACATGTTTACAACTTTCTGAAGCACCAGCAGCACAAGAGCAAGCAAACGATTCAATTTTAATATTTGAAGAATCTGCAGTCAATTTTCCAGATATTTCATGAGGCTTATTTCTAATATGTGAACTTTGCATAACTAGAGCTTTTATTGAAAAACCATTCTTCTGTAGTTAATAAAGTATAAGCAGTAGTGATTAAGCAATGATAAAACTATTTTAAATTACATTGTTAAATTTATAAGCTAGATTGTAGTTTAGCTACAAAAACTAAATTTACCTCCTGAATTTTACCACCAAGAATAATTTGTTTCGCTCGCTAAACTTCTTCACCTTTCTTCAGCATTTCTTGAGTTTGTGGTACATTTCACGAATTCAAATATTGATTTTAATGATATATACATTTCAAAATATTATAATTCACAGTTATATCTCAACAAAAAACAAAAGTAAGAACAAAATAAGAATAATTATAATAATATTCAAAAATCAGTATTGCATTTTACATAATAATCAGTGTGTTATCAGAATACTAGTCCCACATCGGTTTAGGGGGGAAACCGCCAGCCATAGTGACAACAGCGCTCCGGGTGTTATTTTGTCTTCCCAATACAGTCTCGATGTGTAACCAGAATATCTTTAATCGTGGTCGTAAGTGACAAGTGTAAAATATATTACATGCAGTAAAGTTATCTCATAATACAATACCCATATGATTAACAGTAGCGCGGTCGACATCAGTTGTACCTATTATAGGTATATATTATAATATATTTAGCTGCTCTGAGTAATAAAACATTATAATTCGTTTTATCCTCAAAAATACATTATATATTTATAGGTACGGGCCTAAGTGATTATAGACGTCAGTTTTCGACCGACTGCCGTAATATGCATGTCCGGTTAGGCGTGACACTGCAACTCTAAAAATAAAATTTCGAGTTGACCTTGCACCAGGTCGCCTAACCATGCCCACATCTCTATTGCTGACTGCTGCCGTGCTAGGTCGGCACTCGGAGCACGTCGACAATGTCATATAAAATGGATTTTCTTATCAACAATTTTTAGTTTTACAATGTTTTAGTTTAATATTATGCCCGTATTATTATTTATAACTATATATTTTCACTCGACTAGAGGTTTATTTCTATTAATAATCAATTGGTTGATAGTGTTGATACGACTCTCTGATTCTACGTCGACGAATTATAAGTCACAACACAAAATAAAAATAACATTAAAAGATTTTACTTTTATTTTTCTGAACCTGCAAATGGACAAACAAAATAGTCATTTCTATAGTCTTACTTTTACTAGTCCGAATAACTAGTCTACCCAAACATAAATAACCTTTTTATAATTAAGGTTACGGTTGACGCGGCTACGGCGGTGATGGACTGGTATGGTGTCCACGGTAGGCCGGTCGTACATTGTGGCGTGAAGGTGACACTGATAAATAATGCGAACACTGTTGGTTAGTGGTACTAAGGTCCGCGGGGGCACGTTTATTCGTGACACACCATGATAGAAATAACTAGGTATGACAGCAACTTCGCCGCGCGCATGTTGCTTACGTCATCCGCCAAGGATTGTTATCACTCATATTTGTTGTCTTTTAAATTCTATGTTTAAATCACGGTTATCTACACCGCTAATCTACACCTAGATAACCGTGGTTTAAATCAACTGATAATTAATTCAACTGTTGAAAATTTTTAATTTTTAAATTAAATTCTATCATGTTTAAGTTGTTATTTAATAAACTATTAAATTATTAACTTTGAAGTTATATTAAAATTTAGCATTGTTATGTAATAACTAATAATAACAAATATTATTATTATATAATTCATGTTTTATAATAATAATTCATAATACTCATGGAGTATAATTCTGCAGTACCTATATATTATAATTATTTAATTAATTAATTATTCAGATTGTAGTGTATAGTAAGATCTAAACTGTGGTGAAGTCAATAAGAAGCTATAAGATTACATTTAATATTTTAGTGTTTTAACTATTTAGTATTAACTATTATTGATAATTAGCAACATTCAATAACAAAAAAAGTCACGATTTAAATTTCTTTATTTTGCTTCGTTTTGTTGTAATAACTTTATTAGACAATTCGTTATTTAGATTATTCAATCTGATAAACGTCCTTGTTCCACCAAGCAGTGTAACACTTCATATGGAATATTTATTTTGTTTTTTATTCTTTTTTCAAGTTCATCAGCAACAGTTTTCATTACACCTACAGAAAAGATTTTTGTGAAGTGCATTAGTTATTTTTTTATAATAATAACAATTCAAATAATACCTGGTGATTTATTTAAACTATTACAAGTATGAAAATCTTTAAATATGGTCTCTAAGATTGTTGCCGCTTCAATTAACTTTGCTGAAGGTTTTATTAAATATCCTTTATTAATATATTCTGTCCATGTTGAATTTAGGTTTATATCAGGATCGCCTAATTTTTCCCCAAGATCATGGTATTTGTGAATGAATTTTCGAGCTACAGATCCCGTTACATACTCTAGACAGTCATCAATCTGTGGATTATCTTTGACAGGTAACTAAAAAGTGAGAAGATAATATATTATTGATTTTTATTTAAACTCAACAATAGTTAGTTGTTGTCAAACAAAGATTATAACCTCATTTTCAAAATCTTTTAATAACATCATACTGTGTTTTGGTACTTCAATTTTAGACATACTGCCATAATCATTTTCTATGACTGCCAGAGTTGAATCTGTTATATCTTCATTCATACTTAAATCATCATTGTTTAAAATGTTGGCTTGCTGTATAGTTGAAGATATTAGGCAATTTACTAAACACTCTTCATCTGTATCTTGTGTATTGCGATGTTCTGTAAACACAGCACTGGAGTGTTTGCCTGACAAATACCAGCGTAAACTAAACACAAATCGTAAGTTTTTTTTTTAATATTTCACAATGTTCAGTTATATTCTGTATGATAATTTACATAGAAATAAATATTTATATAACATAAGCCTACTTATATTTAAATTCCATTGGAGACATATGGTTATTTGCCCCAAATTTACTTTCATTGTCATAATATATTTTATATCTTTGTACTTGTAACGGAGCAAACTAACAAAAACGGCCCTTCTCAGGGCCACCACATTTGACATCTACAATATAGTCACAGACCTACCGTGACCAAAAAATGAACGCCCGACCAATCAGAAATAGGCGATGCTTAAAGGCTGATTTATAAATACATATTTTAAGTACAGACAAGAAAAGGATATCTATGAATAGAAGAGATGACACCGATTACGTAGATACCATTTTGACCTTTGTAAAACAAATTCCGGCTAAATTACAAAAGAAACCGTGCCGACTGTAAACACCAATCAGCATACCGGTTTACTAGTCGGTACGGCGACGGGTATATATACGGGTGCATGCTCATACAAAATCAACAACCATCATCAGTAACCAAATTATCACTATCCAGCCAACAGCCAGACTGTGTACACGTACTCTGCTGACCAACACGGCATCCAGCGTTCTCAACAGTTCCTACAACAGGGCAACAGCGCCCACGGGTCAAATCCCGACCGTCAACCGTCAACTGCCGGTTCACTCCAACAGGACATCAGCGTCCAAATAAGCCGCCGCGCCGCGGAAGCGTCAGCGTTCAAACAGCCGTTCTCACCGCTCTCAACAGGGCACCAGCGCCCACTTAAACCGCCGCGGAAGCGACGTCGTAGTCCAAATCAACAGCCGTTTTCACCGCTACTCCGACAGGGCACCAGCGCCCAAGGTAAGCCGTCGCGAAAGCGACGGGTATCCACCTCCCACCGTTTATCTGTCGAGGGGCCGCGCCCTCTCATTGCCGCAGAATCCCATCCCTGACCAAACCAAACCCCCCTAGACCCACCCGTCACACCACCAGAAAATCGCTCTTTTCAGTTTTAAACCCTGAGTTTGTTACGGTCTTGCCATGGGCAAAACAGCTAACAAGCGGAGGGGCCCCGCGCATACACCCGGGAGTTCCAAGAAGGGACGTCCACGTGCCTCACCATCCCCACCGTCCACCTTCCTAAAAGGTCCACAGAGGGATTCCCCCCCTCTCCAACTCCGTCGACCGACTCATCAATAACAATGTCGTCAAACTGCTCCTCTTCCGACACCGAGTCAAACAAATCCGCCCAACACTCCGCCCCGACTACTAAACCTCCACCAGCCAAAACATCCGAACAACAAATCCCGACATCAGCCAAACCCAAGCAAATCAGGCCACCCCCCTTAATCTTAAGCTCTGCGTCCTGGCGAAAAATCGCACCAATCATCTACAAACTTCCGAACTTCACTCCATCGGCAATTACAGCCAAAACCACATCCAATGGACAAATAACTGTCCAAACTACCGACCCCACCCACTTCCGACAAATTCAGAGAGTCCTAGTTGACAGCAAAACTGAATTCCATACCTTCAGCCTCCCTGAAGATCGTTCCCTTAAGGTCGTTCTAAAGGGCATACCGACCGACATCACCACTGACGATCTAAAATCCGAACTAGAAACGATAAACTTCCAAACAAAATACATTCGCCGTTTCGGTACTCCCGAAAAACCGATGCCCATGTGCCTCGTACACATTGCGGCAACCCCGAACGCCAAGGATATCTTCCTTCTCAACTCCCTATTTTATCTTACAATTTCGGTAGAAGCCCTTAAACCTTCCGGCCCGGCACAATGTTTTTCGTGCCAACGTTTTGGACACGGTTCCCGTAACTGTGGCCACCCACCCAGATGCGTCAAGTGCGCAGGAAATCACTTGGCATCTGAATGCCAAAAAACTCCCGAGCAAACCCCGACATGCTGCAATTGCGGCGGGCCTCATACGGCTAATTTCCGCGGATGCCCACATCTCTTGACGATAAAACCCAAAATCGCACCACCAACAACCAAACCTCAAACCCTGCCGCCGACAACTCAATCTTTTACACCACTCCCGCCCCCAACAACAACTACAATAAAACCCCAAACCCGCTCGTACGCTGCAGCCACCACCGGCCAAGCGCCCCCACCACCACCACCACCAAAACCGACCAATCCCGAAGCCCCACAAATTAACCTGTCCCTCATTTT